TCTCTCTCTCTCTCTCTCTCTCTCTCTCTGTGTGTGTGTGTGTGTGTGTGTGTGTGTGTGTGTGTGTGTGTGTCACACACACACACACACACACATGGAGATGAAACTGAACGGTGGAAAGGCAGAGCCTTCAGTCAGATGTCCCGAGGAAGAGGGCTAGCTATGGCTGGTGGCAGACCTCCAGGTGTGGCGCCAGGCGAGTGGCCCTTGCCACCATAACCACCAGTCCTCGCTCCCTCTACAGAGCACTGCTCCATCTCCTCTAGCACTGGCTCCTCTATCACCGCTAGGGCTGGGCTGCTCCACCTCCCAGCCACGTGCCTCTACATGCTTACTACTGGGTCAGCCTCTCCTCTGTGATTCTAAACCAGCCACTGTCCAGCCCAGCCTCCCTCCTAGGTCGTGGGCTTGGAAGGAGACTGTGTCATGCTATGTGGCGATGCTCCAAAAACAAGTGGCCTGGGTCCCTACCTACGTCCAGGCCCTTGTTGATTGAACAACAGAGACAGGAAGGAAAAAACGGCCTTGGCATAAAAGCATGGACACAGGCCCTGCCACAAGCAGACAAGCTGGGCCAAAACATCAAGGCAAAATTGCATCTGTAGATTGTGTACCCCATGTAAAGAACGGGATACCCGCTTTACCCAGTCCCAGCATCCAACGTGCATCTATACCCCGGAAATGGCCTGTGCAAATTACTTGCATGCCGAGGACTGAAGTGCGCCGAGTTCGGTACCAGCATATTGTAATTATACCCAACTATTGGAAGGCTAAATTATGCACATACCCAGGCAAACTATGCGCATACCCAATTTTGACTGCCCGGTTTCTGGGCATGAGGAAAATTTTGTGCTCCCCAACCAAGGGCCCGTGGGACCGGGTACACGTATAATTCGGCACGTGGGAAAAGTAGGGTATTACCTTAAGTTGGACAGGGTCTGCCCGGTCTGGGTATAGATGCGAGCTGGGCGCTGGGACTGGGTATAGCAGGAATTCCCATGTTTAAATAGGGTACAGATGCAATTTTCCCAAACATGAAACGTTATGCACCAGAGGTTCAAACAGGACAAACATGTGCCTGTTCGGATGAAAAGTCCCAAAAACACCATCTATACCAGGACAAAATGAACTGGCATAAAAGAAAACTGTACTGACACAAACCAGAACATGCAGAAATCAGATACAAAGCAAACCAGAGTGTTGGAGTGTTGGGAGACCCAAATCCGTCAGGGGCCAACGAGCCGATGGGTAGACCGGTCGCCACCTATTCGTCGGCGATTGGTCGGCCTGCTGCAATTTTTTTGCAGTGCCAGCAAAGCCCTAAGGCCGAACTTCTCAAGTACCAGTGGGGGGGGGGGGGGGGGGGGGGGGGGGGGGGGGGCATGGCCAGGTCGGCCTTGAGATTATATGCTTTTCACAAGCCCGACACTTTCCAGAACTGGACATACACAAAAACACCACCTGTCCTTGTGGAATGGAGTTGGAGTAAGAGAGTAGATGAGAGCAGCCAGTTTCCTCCAGAGAGCAGTGTGCACAGCCTCTGCCGCAACCATCGCCCGGCACCTTCCCCTATGCTTGAGAGTGCAGTGAGCCCAACTTGTTCAACAGGATGAGAGTTAGTACCTTCTTCTGCTGCTGCTGCTTCTGCTTCGGCTTCGGCTTCAGCTTCGACTTCGGCTTCAGCTTCAGCTTCGGCTTCTTTTTGTCCTTACTTCTTCTCGTTTTTTTTTTCTGTTTTTTTCTCCCATCTTCTTCCCGATTTTTCCTCTTTGATAAAGCAATTGCTGGTTCTTCTTCGAGATGCGATTCCTTTGAATGCAACAAGGTCAGAATCGTGCAAGAGAATAGACAAGGTCCATGAATGAAGCTGCAAGGGCGAGAGAAATTACGAATCTGCCAGCATACAATAATTTGAGGACCAACGCCCTGCCTGCTTGTACAAGATCCGGGATCCATGGGATGTCACCAGTGCTCGAATGGACACCCCTTACAAGGGTGTCTGTTCACTGTACATGTGGCCGCACACGACCATTGCCACCTTGGCTAGTGAGCCAGAGGGTGGCGGGGTCGTCCAGGATCGAGGTTGGCCCAGTGGCCCTAAGAGACGAGGAAACCTTGTATCAAATGGGGGGGAGGCATCGCATACTGCAGGCAAAAGGGGCATGGAATCCAGCACGTTGGCCTGGGGCAGTTTTCTCAAGAAGGCCCTCGGAGCAGCATGTTTCTGGCCGTTTGGTCGAAAGGCACCGTGCGAGGCCTGAAAAGGGCCTGGAAAGGCCCACGAGAAGCAAGCGAGCAGGTAGTACTGGTTGAAAGTGGCGTGATCCAAGGCCAAATTACCTGGTGTCCGTTGGAGAAGAGGCCCTGAGGCCCTGGAATGTTTTCAACAGAGAATTATCAATATCTGACTGAAGATTGGGCGGACCTGAAAAATCCGCATGCCGAAACGTTATACCTGAGACCCCGCTGTCCAAACTCCCACTGGACCTGTTAGAGTGGCAATGGGACCCCCCGGAGAGGGCTAGAACCTGCACCCGGAGACCCCGAACCCTCTCCAGCCTCACGGTGAAGAGCACCTATAGGATGTTCAGAGCTCGTTTAAACCTGAGAGATGTGTCAATCGACAGGTGGCAGAAACACCTCAATGTGGATAGACAACTTCTTAAACCTATACGGTGGTTTCAAGATTGCAAGTGCAGGCCTGCAAAAATCACCTCGCTCCAATGGCAAATTGCTCACTGTTGCCTACCCACGAACAACTGACTAATTGACCATACACAGTTGGAACAGCAGGGCAGGGCCCTGCCATGGTGCACACGTTGCTTGCAGGGATTTCCGGCTAGAAAGAGGGCGGAGACAATCGAACACATGTTTCCGCAGTGCCCAGCCGCCGTCCTGACGTGGAGATGGTGGGACCGGATGCGGAGACGGATGATCCCAGGTCAGTCATGGCCATGGAACGGGCGAGCAATCCTGCTAGGACATTACCCGGCTCTACAGCAGGGGAACTTTGCAAGGAATGTGTTCTCACTGGGAAGGAGGACGGTCCTGTGTATTCTCTGGTCATAGAAGGAAACCGGGTGGAGAGAGAGGAAGGGAGGGAACATTTCAAAACCCACTTCCAATTGGAGCTTACACAGAGGTGGTTGGAGACTAGAAGGACTCTGGACTCCCTCCACAGGCGCAAAGACATATCGGACACGATTACCCAGTTCGTCGAGGACTGGCTGGGGGGGCGGAGGGAGGGATGGCTGGGGAGGGTATACTGGTGAGGGGATAGGAGTGGGGAAAGCAAAGGGAGAGAGGTGGGCACACGAGCCGAAGTCGCCCGGGACTATCGCCTCTCTTTTAAGGACTGGACAGAGGTGGACCCCAACATCCCCCTGCGGCCCACAGACAAATTTTCAGATCCTTTCCCACCACACCCGCTGTCACTGGAAGTGAGGTTTCAGTGAGAGTGGTGCAATCAGGGGGTACGGTGTCCAGTGTGGCAGGTTCTCAATGTTTGTTCACATTTTCAACCTCAAGTTCATTTCTCACTCTTCAAATCCTTATCTTTAGTACTTCAGGAGGGACGCTGAGCCCGGTTCAAGAAACGGAAAAGAGAGAAAGGGGGAGACATAGGAAGGTTTTCAGGTCGGGCAAGGAGACGGTAGGAGGCCCTGCTGGTGGCCCCCAGTGGCTCCTACTGCTATCCG